GGGGGAGAATGGGGAGGGGGTGCTCATTATATTTTTTGACGAGAATGTGCCGATGATCAGGGTATGGGAAAACCATTTGTTTATTTTTCTTTCGGCTTTCCTCTTTTCTCTCTATTTCCCCCCTTAACTCTCCCATCATTTCATACAATCTCCTACATTATTATTTAATTCACTATTTTCCATACATCAGTGTCCGTTCACCGAAAAAAAAACAACATTCAACCCCTACCCGTGGTAAGTAGCTACATAAAGTAATAATAGACATAGCACATAGCGTGGTTTTGGTACCGGAAAATCCCAACACCTTTTCGGATGTAACGTTACCCAGTGAAAATACAAAGCCATTATTCAAGAATTGACAAGTTTCAACTTAGGGTGAACTTTACATTGTTACAGTTCGATAGTTTGATCTATGAAACCCTATAGAATAACTCTAGGAGCGTTGATATTGCAGATAAGCAAAGGCTAATCAAAAGTAGCTTTTTACTAATGGCCGGATGCTAGCACAGTATGAACTTGCGATACGGGGAAAACACGCCTAGGTGCAGTCATGCGGTTGTCGGGTGGCTGCGAGGGAAAACTGTTGGTGAAGAATAAGTAAAAAAATCCGGACTAATCTTTACATTTTTGGCGCGGAAACCAAACCCTATTCCTAAAAAGTCATATAAGAGGATTTCACTAAGAAATTCTTGTAAAATACGTAAGGTTTTTATTCGTTTTTAAAATCATGTGTACGTCACGCGTCTAAAATAAACCATGCATGGAATAACAAATGAAATATGAAACCTTCTGTGATTGGTTGGATTTATTACGACATTAATGATTGGTGCAGACGTTTAGCATTAAAAACACTTGAATTTAAATATACTCGAAGAAAGTTCTGTTTTTGAACTGTGAGAAACACAGTTTTTTTTAGTGTCGCTTTTTAAGAGCCATCACGAAACTCAAAGATGGCAGAAAATATGTGTCGTTATTCGCTGTTTTGGAGCAATCGAGGTTAAAATCAGTATGGAAGACGCACTGTTCTCACTGTTCGGATACAAAAGAACATACTGCATGGCCTAACTTTCCATTCATTCCTCGAAGGATTTTGCAGGAAGATCTGGTGGCTTACCGGTTTCCTTTTGGTAGAGAGCTAGTCGATGAGCAACTAGACGACTAGGATATTATAAACCACTGTCATTTATTGTCTATAACACTGGTACAGTTAATTGTAGTCGAACTTGAATCAAAGTCCCGCGTCATTGTAAGCTTACTTTATATTTCACTCAAGGTAAAGACTATTTTTCCAAATAAACTACGAAAGAGTTTAGTCTTTCTGTGGGTTTTCCTTGAAGATGGCGTCTCTCAAAGTTGCTGTACGGGCTCGTCCTTTGAATAAAAGGTAAGCTCTAATAGCATTCTAAAGAGTATATTGCCTTCAACTGAGGTGGTCTTCAAAACACAATTCATAATCTTATGATATAATTTAATATATAACTACCTCCAGACTTAAACGAATTAATTATATTATTTTTCCAGAGAGATTGATTTGAATTCAAAATGCATTCTGCAAATGGAAGGAGAGAGGACCACCATCACCAATAGTAAAGTAAGTTTGTCGAACTGTATATTACCTATCAATTTTATTAGTTGACTTCGTGCTGTTTTGCTCCAGTGGGTCAATGATATCATGCAGAAATCATTTCAAAGAACAGTCAAAAAAGACAATCTATGAAATGCGCAGTATGGAACCCCAGGTTCACTGAAGAATACAAAAGCTTCTCAGTCTCCTTTTATCATTATCCAAAAAGACAGTCGACTTCTTGAAAATAAATCGTGATTTTTGTTGATAATAAGCTGTTACCTTCGTATTAACCTGTAAAATTCATGTCTTTTCTTGACTGCAATTATAATCTTAACCAAAGAATTATATAAATATTACATAAGAATTCTCGAAAGAATGATACGTGTCCTGTTAAATTTATCAGTAAAATGCTTCAAAAACGTTTTAACTGTGCGTCAATATACTAGTTTATCAATGGGTTTGGACGTGTTGCTGACAAGTCGATCTTGAAGAAAAAAGTCTATTGTTTCAGAACGTTTTCTTGTTTACAAACAAAAAGGGTCCCAAAATAGCCCTCACAATACTCAATATTAACCTGTTTACTAATCCTTTTGACTGATAATGTAAAGGTTTTTTAGCGTATTGGTAAAAATTATTCACGGCTATTGTGCTCTCGTTCAAAAAGCGTTTCAATATATCGATACACACAAATAATTCTGGAGACCTTGTTCTCGAAAGCACTAGCTATAGTATACATTAGAATAATATTATTCAGATCAAAGATTAGAGTTTTATTACTATTATGCTTTCTATTTTTAAAGGCACGATAACAGCGAAAATAACTTCTAGATAAATTCTAATAAGTCGAATGTTCTTTTGCTTGTAATCACATTTTGCCTTTAGAATTCTAGAATACCTTATAGCTAATCAAATTGCAGTGAATTTTATTAATATTTCTTGGGTCATCAGGAATATATCTTTGGGATAAAGCATCATCAAGCAGATTGCAATATTTTATATTTCGAATTTTATTTTTAAATTTCATTTCCTGACAAAAAAAAGACAAAAATATTCACAGACAGTTCAGAAAAAACTAGGCCAATCAAGAGAATTAAGATCATTTATATTGTTTTGTACTATTCATTATATAAATAATAATTTTCTAATTAGAATGTTTTTATTATAATTATTTGTCATGAATATATTTAATATTCTTTACATCATTGTTCCTATCAAGATGACCATGATTTCTTGTACCTAACTGCATCTGGTTTACAGATCTTGAGGTTTTACATTTAATTATTGTATTTCATATTTAATTTCGTTTTATTTGGCTTTTTCCAGCAGGTAGCCTTAAAAATAGAAAGATCTAGAGAGGGAAAAAGATTGATACTTGGTTAAATAATTCAAATAAGGTCTTCTATTTTCTGATCTATGCTTATTCTTACACTTTATTCAGTATAATATGATTAAGAATCTTTTAAAAAAATTTAGTGCTGAAGAACCATTAGCTGGCAGAATCTAGAGCTTTATTAATGGGTTGGTTGCCTAGAGAAATAAAAGAAACCAGAGTGTTCTTGTGTGACTCAGTTTTTAGGCATTAATCATTTTTATTATTGACCTTGATGGACAATCTTCAATAAGCCCTGAATGTTAATTTTTGTCCAGACTTTTAATATGTTTAGAAGTTAAAAGAAGTATATAATATGTAGTGCTAGTGTAAAGAAGAGTGGCTACTTCTGATATCATCCTGTCCTATATAACTAACTCCGTGAAATCAAAGTATAAACAGCAAATCAAATGTTTTATTCATAAAATCAATGAGTATATTCATTTATGTATCTCAGATGTGTTTGCCATGTACTGAATAACTAAATGCATTTTTTGTTTGGGAAAGATTTTCAAGCTCCTGAATGTTATTCATTTCCAGTCTTTGTTTCATTATATATTTAGATATATATGTATTTAAATTCAAGGACCATAACTCTTAGGTAAAATAGGTTTCACACCCTGAAGGTATCGATCATACCCCTGAAAGTATCATTCTCCCAAGTTACTTAATATATTGAGTTACAATCCATATTTTAAAATGTATCAATCGTTTGAAGCATTTTTTTTTTTGTTTTTTGTTTTTGAAGCATATATTGCTGAGAGATATAATTAAGTAATTCAAAATGAAATAGCTTTATAGCTTTAGTTTGTTTCCCTAGTACTCAAGTCATAATTGGCCTAATTCCCAGTCATACGTACAGTTAGTCTTACCTTAGCCTCCTTTGCAACCATTCTTAGGGTTGTCATGCAACGTTTTCCTCTGCAAAGGAGGCTAGTCTTAATTACCTAGGCCTAAACTCCATTTTGTTTGTCCAATGTTTTGCCCATTTCAGACCACATGTCATTCTCTTGAGAATAATATTCTTTGTTTGGCGGCATTGTATCCATATTTATGTGTCTTCTGATGCTTAACCGTTAAACAAAGAATCAGTACTCAAGGGAATGACACATGGTCTGAAATGGGAAAACAGTGGATTAGGTCTATTCAAGAGTGAATCCAGTAATCTAGGAAGAGGGTGGCAGATAAATTCAATGAATATACAAAATGAAATAGAGAAGGACAGATAAACTCACTGAATATAGAAAATGAAACAGAAAAGGACTGGTGCATGCTCCAAAGGAAATTCTTAAAATATGGTTTCTAGTAATGCTATTCAAAGATAATTAAAAAATACTAATATAAAGTATATAATTTGATCACAAGAATCCTAATATGTGCCAGTTTTAGACCATTTTGTTTAATCATTCTGAGCTATGAAATACTTAGTTCATTTATTCAAGTATTCTTTCATTTATCCATGTATTTATTTACCTGCTTGTTTATTTGTTTGTTTGTTTGCTTGCTTGCTTGCTCCCTGGCTCGGTCACCCTTCATTTGTTTGTTTGTTTGTTTGTTTGCTTGCTGCGCTCCCTGGCTTGCTCACCCTTCATTTGTTTGTTTGTTTGTTTGTTTGTTTGCTTGCTTGCTCCCTGGCTCGCTCACCCTTCATTTGTTTGTTTGTTTGTTTGTTTGTTTGTTTGTTTGCTTGCTTGCTCCCTGGCTCGCTCACATTTCATTTGTTTGTTTATTTGTTTGCTTGCTTGCCTGCTCCCTGGCTTGCTCACCCTAAATTTGTTTGTTTGTTTGCTTGCTTGCTTGCTGTTCATTCATTTGTTTGTTTGTTCATTCATTCATTCATTGATATTTTTTTAACATATACAGTTATATGGTGAAGTGGGCTCAGAAGGAGACAAAGGCAGAGAAGTTAAAAAGGAATTTGTATATGATTATTCTTACTGGTCTGTTGATCCAAACGATCCTCATTTTATCACACAAGAGCAGGTAATATATTTGATTCCTCTAACAAGCCATTCTTTCTTGCACTGTAAGTAACATGCATTCTTTTCAGTTCTCTGCTACAACAGATTCTTTTCTTTTTCTTTTGCTGGATTTGGAAATGCCAATCTAACAAGGGAAAATAATATGAGACTTTGCAATCAGGAAACTCTTTCAGGGAAGATTACTAATTTACCTCAAGAAATCCGGTTGTCTTCAATGTTGTATGCAACGAAAAAAGCAATTCCTTTCACAATTTTACGTTTGTTTTGCAGATTTTTGATGATCTTGGATCAGGAGTTCTGTCGTCAGCATTTGAAGGCTACAATGCTTGCCTGTTTGCATATGGACAGACAAGTGCTGGAAAGACTTATACCATGATGGGAACTAATGTACGTAACCATCCATCTACCCTTCCATCCATCCATCCATCCAT